CCGAACACCCGAACCCGAATGCCCGAACGTTTGGGATCCCCTCTCGACGCGTTCGGACGTTCGGCCGAATGCTTAACCAAAAAAAAAAAAAAAAAAAACCAAAAAAATGTTTCCAAAAATTATGAAAATAAAATATGTCATGCAGAAGAATAAACTAAACAACATTTGCCTCAACAGTACATCCAAATTCCTTACCAAATTTAAAATAAAAATCAAATACGAAAACTAAATAATATTAATAAAAATAAGAAAAAATAAAACGAGAATGAAATTATTGCGTGGGCGAGCAAGTTTTTGACACCGCCATCGTTGGCGATTTTTCATTTTTTTTTGGCTCTGTCAAATGCCATGAAACTTTATACATATGTATCTTACATAATAAAGAACTTACAAATAAAGTTTGAAAAAATAATAATCTTTTTCAGGCCCCAAAATAAAGGGAAAACAAAAAGTGAAAAGAGAAAAAAAACAAATTAGTAAGTGGGAAAGCAAGTTTTGACACCACCATCTTTGCCGATTTTTCGTTATTGTTTGGCTCCACAGAATGACTTCAAAATTAAGAAAAAGGTAGCTTACAGAACAGAGAACTCACAAAAAAAAAAATCAGAAAAAAAAAATAATTTTTAGGTACCAAACTACTTTTTTGCGGGGTCCAAACCCCTTCGAGTTCGGGCCCGGTACGGGGACCCGAACGCCCGAACGTTCGGGGGTCAGCTTAGGGGCCTCCGTACGTTCGGCCTGGCAACTCTGTATATATATATATATCGTCAAAATATATATATATATATCATATATATATATATATATTTGCCTGGCCAGGCAAGTGACCCCGGGCCACTCTGGTAGCCTCGAGAATTTTTATTTATTTTTTCAATCCAGAAACAAAAAATGCTGTTTCAGTGTGACCAGCAGTCAGGACCACCACCCTACCAGTATCGCGGGGAACTTGGACTGAACAGTAGGGACAGGCACCAGGGCTAGCGACCAGCCCTGGTTGAAGCATAGTCGAACGAGAAGGGATTCAATGTTGCCCCGTGCCCCAACAGCCGTAGTCAAAGATGGGTAGAGGCCGCCAGTTGCAAAATGCTCCGTCTTGGCCCCAATCTATTTTCAGTGGCACGCCTTCTGCGTCTTCTCAAAAAAAAAAAAAAAATAGCCCGAGGACGAGGCCTGCCATTGTGACCTGGGACCACTTGCCTGCACGGGCCAACCGGGTCTGGGACCAATTGCCTGGACGGGCCAACCACGTCTGGGACCAACTGCCTGCAGTGGACGAACCGCCTGGGCCCAGACAGCCTGGAGCCCAGGGATCCAGAAATTAAGCTAGAAAAACAATAATACTAAAATTGAAAAAACTCATGGTGGTCACTCGTCATTTTCTTGTGGGGCATTTCTGAACCCACTAAGATATGCCCAAATCTGACCTTGTCTTTGAATTTGGTGACCTCACCTTATGGGGGGTCTGTAGGGTATGCACAGGGTTTACAAGGGCTTAACAGCAAGCACATGGCCTCTGCCACCTTGAGAATCGAAATCGAGCCAATCCAAAACTTTTTGGGGCTAGGGGTAGGCCCGGTAGTGGGAGAGGGAGGAAGCTAGGGGTCCCAATGGAATAGGGTTCGTCCGATCCACTCATGTGGAAACACATGCCCGGACAAGACAACCGTGGGTTACCCAAAAGAAAATCAGAAAGGAAGACAACTGTGGGTTACCCAAAAAAAAATAAAAAAGGAAGACAAACGGGCGCGCTCCGGACATGCATGGGAACATAGGGCCTCCATCCACTACCCACCAAATGTGCACGAATCTTCCGCTAGATCGTGGACCAATATACCACCACACTTTGGGCCTCGTTCGACACCATTTGAAAATACTTTCAAGGGCACCCTAACTCATGAAGGGTGATTAATTTACCCTAACTCGTCTTTTCATTCCACAACCTCTTGACGAAACCCTTGAGACAGCGGCCCTTGACACTGAAGTGCTGACGGCATTGCACCACGAACACTGGTGATTGGTGGAAAAATCCAAAAAAATAGAAAACGTTCCGTATATTCCCCATTTCCAAGGGTCCAGCCCTTGAGCCTCAGTGACCTCCCGAGGCTCCCTTGAGATTTTCGTTGTTTTGGCTGGGCCGCACTTTAGTTTCAAGGGCGGACCCTTGAGTTGCAAAATGTGGAAACGTCCCAGACATCCAAATCTATGTAGTTAGGGTGGGATGGAACGATGCTTCCGAATCCTTGAAATTCAAGTATTTTCAAGTGGTGTCGAACGAGGCCCAAAGTAATCACACAAAAGGGCCCCTTGTCTTCTGCGATTGTGGTGAGTGGTGGAGGGAGGCCCATAGAGTCCCCAGTTCGCTGACGGGGGGCACCCGCTACACCAGGCGGGGTTTTCGTCTCTTTTGTGTGATTCGTTTGAGTGTTCTTAATAAACCTGCTCCTGTGTCTGATTGAAGAAACGGGCACAGTGGATGTTGTATGCCCGGCCTTGCGGGCAGGACGTGAAGCTATCACACGCACAGACACATAGGCTTGGACCGCACTGGCTGGGGGTAGCTGGGCACCAGCCTTTGGAAGAGATGTTTTGAGACTCCACTGACTTGCCCAGAAAGGCAAGTCTTCCTAATCGGCGAACAGAAGCCTCTGGGAAGTGCTGAAAATTGCTGTGGCGGTGGAGTCCCTTTTCGCTTGCCCATTCCCGTAGGATACAATTTGTGCTGGTGTATGCTTTCCTGGCCGCAGTTACCGCCAGCCAGTGGTGTCCAATTCTTACTTCTGATGATACCTGCCATTTGACCAGAAGCACAGGCGCAAATAGTGTGCCGGATACATCACCATCAGGGAAGGGAGTAACTGTTTGGTAGTGGGGGCAAGCTTCCCCCACCAATCGTCGAGTGTCTGTTGTAACAGGTGCTGCTGCAAAACCAAGAAAAAGTCCATCCCTTCAATAGTGGCTGCTGTTCACAGGCAGCCACATATTAGTTGTAGGGGCCTAAATCTGGCGCTTGGAATGAGCCATCTACACCCATGTTTGTGGAAGTTAGTGGGGAGTTCGGCTGGGGTGGCAACAACGGCCTCGCGGTCCTTTTCGGTCCATATGAGGGCAGCAGGTTCATCACTTCAGTCTCACTGAGACTGGCACCATCACTACCCTCAATTTTCCAAGCGGTGGTACCAGTCAAAAATCAAAATGCATATTTTGCTTCATCAATTCAGCTTCCGATGTTTTTTTTTACTGGTGGTGGTTTAAACTTTAACGCCGTAAAAATTGGAATTATGGTACAGAGAAGATTGCATGGCCCCTGCGAATCGGTGATGCACATAAACAAAGGAGTGTGATACAATGTTACCGGAGTGCGACATAATTATGTGACTTTTTGTATCCTTCTTTTTTTTCTTCTTTTATTCTTCTTGTTTCTTCTTCTCATTGTGAATGTCATTACGAATCTCGGAGTCACTGTGGCCATCAGGAAAAGGCTGTTTGTTCTTTTTCAGCCTGTGAGCTAATCTGAATGATGCCTCCAGTACTTTTCATCCCGGAGTAATGTCTGTCAAGGTCCCCAGCCTTCAATTTTTTATAAAAGTAAGGAAAATTTAATCTGAATTTTGAGGGAGAAGGGGGGGGGGGCGAGAAGGTTGTTTCGTTTGCAGTTTTCTTTTTTGCTACATTCTTCTCTCAATTTCACCTTTCACTACCTACCTACCACTACTCCTAAGCCTAGTATACAGCGGACCCCTGCAAGCATAGCCACCTCTCACAATCAAGGGGATGCATGTTGCCCCCTCGCCTTAATTGGCAGTGGGCAGGGAGTAGGTTGGGGCCGGCTAACGCAAAGACCGAGCATTTTTGCCAGTAGCTGCGCCTCCCAGCTTCTTCCCTCACACCCCGCCGGGACGTCAAAGTAACAGCAGTGTCTATGCCCAGCGTTCTCACACCACACACAGTCCACGCAACAAACACACATGTGACGAGGACCAAAGACCATAGTACCAATACGAAACGGGGGGAGCAAGCTCACAAAGTGTGACCACACTGTCAGTGGGGATTGCACCCATGACCTCCTGAATCCGACTTGTGTGCCTAACCAGCTGACCTAAGCCCATTGCCCTTTTGCAGTTCTGAATATCATATGATTTTTCTTTAAGGAAACTGTGGCTGTGACACACTTTTACTTTGGAATAGGCAAGAAAAGACAAAGTGGCACCGGCGTCAGTGGAGATACTCGGCGGGCGCGCAGAGCATCTGGTCTCTCTCTCTCTCTCTCTCTCTCTCTCTCTCTCTCTCTCTCTCTCTCTCTCTCTCTCTCTCTCTC